GAGTTAACTTCGGGTAAAACTTCTAATCTTCGAGTAATACATTTTCGCGAGTAAAAACTAGTAAATCTGAGCTCTGATTTAAGTATATGTGCATAGGCAGAGAGTATAAAACATCTTTCGGCAACAACGAGTAATACTTTACATCTAGGAGGGTATATTAGTCGTGTCATTATGTTTGTAACTATATCAAACATCAACTCCCTCGAAAAAAAAAAATGGTTACGACAGGCAGATTGTTTAACTGTCTTAGAACTGTACTCTGATCAAAAATATTCATACTTTTTGTGGTCAATGATAATTACGTGATCTACCGTCCATACAAAATCAAAAACCTTATGTTACCCTATGGCAACAATTTTTTTTATCAAAAAACCCAATAAACAAATTATGACCAGTCATTTTTATTGTTTACTAAACCCGCAAGACCCGAATAATCAACCGAATCACACAACACTACATCACACTTCGTTTGCTACGAGCATAAGAACAACCAACATTAAGCTTTAGTTTTCAAGCCTGTCTTTCGATTCAGGCCTTTGTTCACCCTAATTGCACTTTACTGTTTTGTGCTCTCGCATTTGAGCAGAGCACACACATACATACACATGTAAACTACGTACTTGCGGTTCAAAACAAAACACAAAAGATACATTGGAATTAATAAAAGCCATAAAGCGGATGGTGGATGATGCAGACAATAAAGCCGACGAATGATGATTGGTAGTCGCTGAGCTGGCCACACTTTAATTGGTCACAATTAAAAATTGGTCGGAATATGATGGAAATGTTGGTCGATTAGTGATAAGAATGTTTGTTGAATGTAAATCTGTTCTACATAAATGAGAGTGGGAGCGTAGGCTACTGCATTTATATTTAAGCATCAGTTAACAAATATATTAAGAAAGCACAGGGGATTAGGGTTGGAGTTGCGAAAGAACTAATGCGATTGAATGATTCATTGAAAAGAGTGTATGAACCAGTACCCACGTGTCTATTCACTAAGAAACACTAAAAACCCCTATCAGGTCACCTTGTCGGTTAACATAATTGTCTCTGTTTTAAGATCCACAATATTAATGCGATTTATAACTTAATTTAGCCAATTGATTGATTTATGAGCTTTATTGTATGTATGCAACACCTTAAAATAATAGTCGGAGACCCCAAAACGTGTATATATTCCTGATCAGAATGAAATAATAAGATGATTTAGCGATGTCCGTCTGTCTGTCTGTTGAAATCACGATATAGTCCATATTATTTAATCAAAGGTTTATATTATATGCCGTCTAATTGGTACTTAAAATGAGCTATATTGGTTAACTTTCAGGTATAGCCCCCATATAACGGTACCTCCCGATTATCGGTACTTTTGAGGTTTCTGCCACAATTTCCAACCAAATAAGCTAAAACTTCTTGAAATGTCTGCTGCCTCTTTGATATTCTACTCTCTTCAGTATTTCATTTTACTTTGACAAACAGGTGGAAGGTATAAACGAACTTAAAGCCCTTTTTACTTTTTTGCAACTGAATATACTAAGTACCGCGTGCATATGGAACTTAACTATGTATTGAAAGAAGAATAATTGGACTATTTAAAGGAAATCCATATGATATGGTTTATTATCTAATTTTTAATGTATCAATTTCCAAATTAAAAGTGAAATGCTGAGCTGGATTGACACCTTCTAACATGGAAAAATTGGCTTTTATTCTGTCCCTAACTAAATCTTAATCGATTCAGCTAGTCGAGATATAAGCTGTGTTCCAGAACATGCCATGTTCTATTTTTACCATTTTTATTTAAACACCCTTCCCATACCCAAAAATGTGAAGGCAAAATTAAAAGAACGCTCAGAAAATTTCTGATTCCTTGGCAGTATTTAGTTTAACATTCTTTCATTTTCTAGCTTTGTTATTAAAAACATGGGAACTTTATATGAACAATAAACGGGTTTGTTGTTGCAACCGACCAGGGGAGAGGAAGAGATCGTGTGCCAAAGACAGGGAGAGAAAAGCAACAGAAATAAGGACAGCTGTGAGTCTAGAAATGCGCGTACAAACATACATACAAATAAAATAACTATAAGAGTAACTCTTAAAAAGTAGAATCAGCTCGATTTCGAACGAATTTTACTCCTAGTCAATAGCATACTTGCTCTTATTCCAGTGACATAGAGAAATAGAATATATTTATTTCGGACCTCTGGTTGTAAAAACGTGGGCCTATACAAGTTAAAATCTATTCACACTTTAATATTTTCCCCTAAAACGATTTTCACATAGAAAGAGAAAGGATCTTTCGATTTTGTGCAAACTTTTCAAATCCATATATAATTGTCAGTGTTAGATTTGGAGGAAAAATGGACAATATCGACCCACTCGATCAGGTACATCCCCCACAAAGGGTCGAATTATTGAATATTTATATCTCTAATAAAACGAGAAGTAAGCATCAGATTCTCTTCAAATTTCGCACATCCCGATATTTTCTTTAACACAAGATCTGGTGTGAAGATGGTAGATATTGACCACTCCTTGTGATACCTACCCCACAAAGGAGTCGACATTTCGAATTACCATAAAAAGTTTCATAAAACATAAAATGAACACTCGATTATTTTCAAACTCGGCACATCGCAAAACTTCTATCAAAACAATATAATGTGTGAAGATGGAATATGTCGGACCATTCCTTCTTTTACCTCCTCCGCAACGTGTCAAAATTTTAAATAATTATATCTCTCATGAAATGCAAAATACACACCCGAATCACAATATTTTTACTAACATAATATCTGTTGTCGAGATCGTAGGTACCTCCTCTTCAGAGGGTCCAATTTTTGAATACCCAAAACGCCCATAAAATGGAAAATAAGCATCCGATTCTTTCAAATTTCACACATCCCAAGATCGCAGATATCGGTTTGCTCCGTTTGGTACCTCCCCCACAAGGGGTTAAAATTTGGAATAACAAAACGCTGATATAATACAAAGTAAACATTAAATTCTTTGCAAGTTTCGCACATCACAACTATTTTACTAACTTTAGAACTGCTGTGGTTGATATCCATCGGCCCATCCCTCTTGGTACCTCCCTCATATAGGGTTAATATTTACAATACTTGTATCTCTAAATGTTTCTCTCAACCAGTGTTCTGATTTGAATATGGAATTTACTGGCCAACTTCCTATGGGGTTTCCCCCACAAAGTGCTAAAATTTTGATTGACAGTTATTTGATTGAAATTGGCTACAAATGTTTGTTTTTCTTTAATTTTTTTACAACTAAAAAATTTTATTAGTATTAGACAAAGTAGAATACTTCGGCCCGTTATATCTCAAGCCGCACTTTCATTTGAAAATTTTTCGAAAATTATCACATATCTCATATAAATTGAAGGAAATAGTCTATATATTAAAAATTTGGTGCGACGTAATATTTATATAAGACTTAGATCAGATATTGGCCCACTCCCGCGGTAAGGGGTCAAAAATTTAAATAATCAAAACCCAAGCCAAATTGTTTTTATACCCTACACCACATAGTGAATAAGGAAGCGAGATAGACCAATAGTTTCTTTTGAGAAAAATAATCACTTTCTGAGCCGATTTATGAACGTCAGTACGTCCGTCAATGTATTTTTGTGAACAAAAGGCAGGTCGCATTTATTACCCGATTGAGATGATATTGAACCTATTGAAAGTACCGAATTCTATTAAAATCAGTGATAATCGGATCAGATTTAGATATAGGGTTAATCGTGCACCAAATGACCAATATCAGACCAAATAACCTGCATTTTGGCATATAGACCGAATTCAGTATAGGAGCAAGTACATTAAATTCGGAGAAAATCGGTTTAGATATAGCTATAGCTCCCATATATATGTTTCATCGGATTTGGTGTTTAAGTCCCCCACATTCGTAATATGCACACCACAAGAATGATGCTTGGTATCAGATATCAAATATAGCCCAGAAATACCTGTGCCAAATTGTATCAAGATCCTTTCAGATTTGGATGTAGCTCCCATATATAGCTTCTACCGATTTCGGATTAATTGTGCACTGAATACCCAATATCAGTCCAAATGGTCTGAACTTTGGCACATCCGACCGGATTCAGTCTAGAAGCAAGTACATCAAATTTGGTGAAAATCGGTTCAGATATAGCTATAGCTCCAATTTATATGTTTCATCCGATTTGGTGTTAAAGTCCCTCAAATGCGTAATATGCACTCCACAAGAATAATATTTGGTACCAGATATCAGAAATACCTCTGTTAAATTCTATCAAAATCGGTTCAGATTTGGATATTGCCCCCATATATATCCTTAATCCGATTTTAGGTTTATTGTGCAAATAATGCTCAATATCAGTTCAAATGGAATGAATTTCGGGACGTAGGTTTCCATTTTGTGGAACTTGGCTTCGATATATATATTTTTTTAATATGATCCTTTTCGAAATGATATTTGGTATAAAAGATTAAAATGTCTCCGTCTAATTTAGTGAAAATCGATTCAGGATTGCATATGCCTCTCATATATTAGTTCCTTCTGAAAGCAAATTATAACTGCCCCAAAGGCAAATGTTAATAGGTTGTATGATCTACTTCAAATAAATGCTTTTGTTACGGGAGCTCTACTAAATATGCATATTGGTGTAGGCTATCATATAGTCGGCCCCGCCTGACTTTTGACTTTTCCTTACTGGTTTTATAAGTTGACATTGGAGTAGGGTATACATCTGACGAAAAACCCGACTGATACTTTCTTGCTTGTTTATTATAAATTATTTTTCGGTCATTTCCACTTTTTAGCTTTTGCTAATATTTCTTTCTCTTTGTCTTCGATTATCTTAGTTGTTTTCTCCAACTCATTAGATCTAATTACACTCAAATTATTAATGCGATGTTTTTCAACAGTACCATTGTTTTGTTCCCTGTTATGTTCTCAACAGATTTATTGACATTTCTGTTTTGCTATAGACTTACTTTGTTCATTTGTTGTTGCACCCGTAGCTGTTGTTGTAGGTCTTATCTCAACATCCACACTTGTCTCTGTTACTTCAGATGTAAAATTGTTTGAATTTGTGGTTGCCTCCGCAAAAAGATTTTCAATGAATTCTTTGTGATCTTGGCTCTCTTTCGCTGGAAACTGAAGTTGTAATTGTTGGTGTTGTAATTTATCATCGACCTCCACCATGTGTTCACCAGTTCGTTTTGCTTTTAGTACTGATGTTTTCAACTCTCGGGTTGTTGTCGCAGCTAACCCCTCTTTTCTGACACAGGGTGGTTGTGGTGCTAAACGTTTCTTTTTAGAACCGCCGACTTTTCTGGGATCAGTTGTTTTAGTTGTTGATTTGACGCTTTGCCAACCAGCGCCTTTGTAGTGTAACAAAGGAAGAAAGAGCAAACAATTTGGAAAATAGAAACAGTTTGACTTTATTTTTCCATTAACTTGGCAATAAGCAACGGCAACATCAACAACAACGATATTTAATTAATAAATGAATTAATTGGAAGAGAGTGATGAAGTAAACCACAAAGAACAATTAAAGAAATCTCAAAATGAGAACACCATGCAAACAACACATTTACTTACAATACATGTTCGTGTGCATGTGTGTGGGTGTTTCTGTTATAGAATGAATTTGGGTAGTACAAAGGTTAGAGGGCAAGCCATGCAGGCACAGTGTTTCAAAATCTGGTTTGGTAGATGGGTACATGTGTATTTAAAGTGGAACTTTTAAAAGACAATGGGTTTTAGGAAATGTCTACAAAAATGTACAATTATTTTGAAACTACTTTACGGCTTAACAAATAATTACTTTTCGAGAATAATCAATTGTTTCGCTACTAGTCCCAAGGTTATACAGTTCAAAATTAAACAAATAAATTTGCAGACTTCGTTTCATTATTTATTTACAATATACAGGGTTGCCCATATTCGACGGACCCATCTGGCAACGCCATAACTTTTGACAGAGATGTCACATCGCTTAATGACATACCGCGTTTGAAGCGTCAGTCCAAGCAGATTTTTACCATGAACCAATACACGCCACACGAGCGCTCTGAAATTTACATTCAACAGAAGAAGTCAATTGTGAAAACTCAACGTGCTTTTAAAACATTAAAAAATTTGAGAAGTGCGCATTCTAAGAAAACCATTAAGCGTTTATACGAAAAATTTTCGACTGGTAAGGCTCTTTCTAATCCGAAGAGGCCATATAAAAGTCGACCAAGGCGATCGGCCGAGAACATCGCTGCCGTACGAGCCAGTGTTGAGAGGTCCCCAAGAACATCCCAAAAACGCCGTTCTCAGCAGTTGGGCATGGCTCGGTCCACTTTACAACGGATTATGCACATTAATTTGCATTTGTTCCCGTACAAAATTCAATTGACACAAAGAATGTTGCCTGCGGACAAGCCTCGTCGATTGGAATGGGCCCAAAGGGCCCAAAGGTCCGTCGAATATGGGCAACCCTGTACTACATAGGGTAATACACCTAAAAACACATCAGAACTTCCGTTTGTTGTCATAGCTTTAGAAATTTTAAATCAAAGAATTTTGTGTCATTACGCACCGCAAATAAACGACTCCAACATTTGATACGACCAAAATATGATGATGGAATCCGTTTCAGTACATTTAGAGTCGATATAGCCATGTTAGTTCCTCCGGATGTTGATCTGTCTGTCTGACCGGCTAATGCTCACGATAACTCTCTCGCTCCACAAAAATTCTAAATTAAACCAATAAAAAGAGGAGGTCCATATGACCCGATCTCGAAAGAACCTTGTACGGTCCTTGTGGGGATCTAAAAGAACAATATATAGGCTAATATTACACATATGGCGGACGAAGATGTATATGGGAGCTGTAGCTAAATTTTGAACTATTATCACCAATTTCAATAGGGTTCGTCATTGGGCCAAACAACTGATTTGTGGAAAAATTCGTTTCACCAACCAGAACACGTCAGTCGACTATAATAGCCTGCACACATAATAGTCGCATTTAAAGAATTGCATTGATGTTTAAAGATTTTACATAATATAATAATATTATAGTGGTTTCTTCAATTTTTACATTATTGAAATCTGCGGATTTCTTGGATGGATTCAAGCAAGGCTGAGAAAGGAAAAAACTAAAATCATTCTCGTCAATAATACACTTAACAAGTAAAAACGCAGCTATTTGAACTCCAACATTTGGAAAGTAACTGATGTAAAAATATGTCTGCTAATGCCGAAGTTCCAGTATTCGAGGGGTAGGCGTCACTTCTCTCATTAGGTGCATACACTGCAAATTTCAAACAATTTTATAAGAAAGTAAAAAGTATCAGTTGGTTTTGCCGAAGGAGTGGACAGACATTATCCACTTCTCATCTGAACTAACTCTGATATAAACTGATAAAAACTACAGCGTTCCCGATTTGGACTATATCGATTTATATCACTTTATATGAGATATGTGATAATTTTTTGAAAGTGTTGAAATATCCATAAGGTACCAGATATAGTGGAATTAAGGGTTTTACTTCATCTAACACACATAAAAATTTTGGGATATGGAAAATTTAAAGAAACTCGGAAATCTATTAGCAATTTTATGGGAATAATTGTTAATCAACATTTTAACCTTTTGTGGGGAGGTACGAGAAGGAGTGGGCTGGTAAATTCCATATTCACATCAGATCTCTGGATACGGGAAATATTTACATATACCAAGTTTGAAGAGTATCGCTGACTTGTTTTGCAACTTACGAGAGATATAAGTATTCAAAACTGTTCCATAATTATTCAAAATTGTGCCCCTTGGGGTGAGACACCACAAGGTGTGGTCCGATATATTCCATCTTCATAGCTGATCTTTTATTAGTAAGAATATTGAGAGGTGCCGAGTTTGAAAGTGATCGGATACGCATTTCGCGTTTTATAAGAGTTATAATTATTCAAAATTTTTACTCAGAGTAGGCCGATATTGTCGTTTTACCACCTGACATAGCACGGATACAAATTTTCGGATTTGCACAATATTTGACGATCCTTGTTTGTTCTATATGGTAAATTATTTTCTATAAAATATTTGACCTTTTGTTTCGAAGGTTCTAGAAGAAGTAAACAATGATATTGCGATGTACCAAGTTTGGATCAAATCGGATACTCCCTTCGAGAGCTATCGTGTGGACCAGTCAACCAGTCAACCAGCCAGACAGACGGACATAAACCCCAGGAGCGACTACAAATGTCCTGAAACGGATTTGGTTCAAAGAGACCTGGGATCTAAAACCCCTACTTTGATGAGACACGTTTTGGCCGTATCAAATGATAAATACTCTCTGTATTTATGGCTGAGGATATAAAAAATGGGTAAAATTGTCAAAATATCGAATAAGGATGGATGGAGTCTATAGAAATTGTACTGCAACAGGAGTAGAGAAAAATTATGGAATCCAAACTTCGAATTTTAAAAAATTTCGTTAGAAAATGTGCAAAAATCGTCAAAATACCGAATATTGGAAAGTACCGTTATATGGGGGCAGTAGCGAAACGTGGACAATTTTCTAATACAGTGGCTGACTCCCTTAGCTAATAACAAATATTACATTTGAAACACATAGGCTTAAATCACAAGAGTATTGAATATCTGTTGGTAACGTCTTATGGGGGCTATAAGGAAACATGAACCTACATATGTACACAATGTTCTGCTACCTTGAATACGTGTATCGGTGTTTTGAGACTTCAAGGGTCTTTGAAAATTTCGGATTAGGATTCCTTGGAAGCAGTTGATATTAGCAAGTGTTTTTGGCCCTTTTTTAAATATATGGTTAATAACTACTTTTTAAGCGGATCACAATATTCTGCAAAATTATTTGTCATGATGCGTCAAGTGTCTAAACCTTATCTAAACGCTAGAAATTCATATATATTAAAACACATTCTAGGGATAAAGCTGTACTTTGTGTGAGTTTATGCAAAAATCGTCTAGAAAGCATCATTTTGGGAGGATGAGGTCAAAGTATCCATCCAAATTCAGTTTGAGACTTCAAAGAAAAGTAATCTTATTTCCACTGTATTCACAAAATAGTTCCCAAATAAAAAAAAAAAACCGAAATATTCCCCCATTATACCCTACACCACAACTTGTTCAGGGTATTATGTTTTTGTGCATTTGTTTGTAACAGGCAAAAGGAAACGAGATAGAACCACTATCTACATAGAGTCACATTCTGCGTCGATTTATGCATGATCGTCCGTCTGTCTGTCCATGTATTTTTGTAAACATAGTCGCATTTATTGCCCGATCCAGATGAAAATTTGCACAAGTCATTTGTTTGACACCAGGACGAACCCTATTTGGGTTCGGATATAATCGGTCAAAATTTAGATGTAGCTCCCATGTATATATTCATTCCATTTTCTTTTTATTGTGCTCAAAACGTATAATATTAGCCAAAACATACGACCAAATTAAGCCTGGAAATAAGTATGCCAAATTTGTTCGAAATCGGTTCAGATAAAGCTATAGCTCCCATATGTATTGTTCACCCGATTTCTTATTTTTGTCCTTCACAGCTATAATATGCACTCTGTAAAAACGATATTGCGGGATATATATCAGAAAGAGCCCAGAAATAGCTTTGCTAAATGTTTCGAGATCGGTTCAGATTTGGGATATAGCTCCCATATATATCTTCGTCCGTTTGCCTTTTATTGCGCCCCAAACGGGTAATATAACACTTACAACAAATTTAGTTTACAAACAAGTTGCCAAATTAGTGAAAATAGGTTCAGATATAGCTATAGATTTCGATATAGCTCCCATATATATCTTTATCCCATTTCAAGTTAATTGTGCACCAAATGGGTATACTATAACGAATTAAAAGGTACAAACCCCCGCAAAGTTATTAGTGCTTTGTACTTTAAGTTATAACTAAAATCATAATGGTATGATTAAGTCTAACAAATTCCCTATGAAATCTTTTTTTTTGTTATAGGTATCATATAGTCGGCCCTCCCGACTTTGAGATTATTGGTTTTTCCTTAAATTTAACAAGATACCAATCCAAGTCAAAATCTCCCTTTATGCATCATAATCTGGGGAAAGTGTCAAATGAAGAATATTCTAGAACAAATTTCATTATAAGTCTCTGAAAAATTTTTTGGAATAGCCCACATGTAGGGGCAACTCCGTTGTCAAGTGTTCTTTACGTTATATGAGATTTTTGATACAACCCTTATTTAAAATACCTCCGGATTTAATTATTTCCAAGGTCCTTGACAATATTTTCCATCTACTTTAACTCTGTTTTGACTAAGTTGTTTGACTGAATTAGTACAACTTAATATTTTCGGTTTTTATC